GGTAACGCGGAACGAGAGTAGAACCAATCACGAGATTCTCTAGAAACACGGAATGCTCGTTATTTGCTGGATTCACACTGCATCCGATTTTCGTCGTACGACGATTCTGCAACCAATCAGAAAAATCGTATCATCGATACGAAGCAAAATTTTGTTTCCTGATTGGTTGCAGAGTCGTCGTACGACGAAAATCGAATGCAGTGTGAATCCAGCAATTGGTTCTGCTCTCGTTCCGCGTTACGCTATTCCGCTGCATGGGTTTGTACCCTAAGAGAAGCGGAACTAAAGTACAGTGAAATACCGTAGAGGATACACGTTTCAAACATATTAGTATACACATTCATATGTTAATACATATATACTATTATTATGTATTGTTATATTATGTATTTTAATATATATATATAAACTTACATTAAAATGTCAAGAAAAAACAAAATTATTTTGAATATATTTATTTGTACTTCGCGTAATGGTCGAAGTATTTTATATTCATATTTATTCGCAGCTCATACTTGTACGTTGGTTCTTCATTAACGTACAGTTTTAAAGAATTATTAATTATATTATTTTATTTATATTAAAAAATAGAAGTTTATTGAACATTAATTAACAATTATTTTACAGTTACAGTAAACCTTCTGAAAAAGCATATTTTTCTTCCTTTGTGATAATTTCTATATAAAAATGAATTACGATACAAAAATGTGTAATTCACATTGTCATTAAGACATTTTTTTACAATAACAATCATAATATTGATGTCAACAATAACGACATATGTATGTACCAGCATTAATAATAATCACTGTGAGGAGGAAAGTGTACAATGCATTTTAAATTCTTTATAGAAAAATAACTTATCTCACATAGATTACTATAATTTATTTTCACTTTAGACACATAATATGAATGTATGTATACAAATAAAATTGAGTTTAAATGTATAAAAAACATAATCAGAAGTCATTATTTAAAACTTTCTTCCACTGCCAAGGCATTGCACCAATGTTGTTGAAAAAATCTGTAAAGTCATCTCTTATTTTCACTGCTTGCACTGAATTGGATGATACACTTCGTGATATGTTCCTCAAGCCGTCTGATATTATTGCTCGATCCTGTGCAGTGTACCGCGAATACTGAGGCAACATTCTAATTGATTCTCTTTCACTGATCATTACAAAATTATGTATTGCAGTTGTAGCTTTAATAATATTCCTAGTTGTTGAAACTGACGCAATTATAGGTTTTCCATAAACTCGCCATCGAGCAGCAAGAAGACCAAATGCACATTCCACTGTCCGTCTTGCCCTGCTCAACCTATAATTAAAAACCTTTTTTCTTATACCTAAGTCTTTGCGTGGATAAGGTCTCATCATGTACGGTGTTAGCTGGAATGCTTCGTCGGCTACTAATACGTATGGTAATGTTACGTTTGTATTTGCAATATTTTTGGCTGCGGGTAGATTTAGAGATCCGTTGCCAAATCGTTTGCCAAATTCACTATTTTGAAAAATAGTACTGTCACACTGTCGTCCTTCTCCACCAATATCAACCATGGAGAAACAACAATGAGCATCACTGATGGCTAGAAGAACGATACTGTGCTGGCCTTTATAATTGTAATATTTCGATCCACTGTTAGGTGGGGCCTGACAATTGAGAAAAAAATCGCTTGAAACACATATTACTCATAATGAAGAATAAATTAAAAAATATTAAAACAAATATACCTGTATTACAACATGTTTTCCGTCAGGGGCTCCAATGCAATGAGTAAAGTTACAGATTCTTTCAAAATCTTCAGCGACTTTTTCCCAATTATTCGAGGAGGGTTGTAAAAATACTCGATGTTTTAAGGAATTCCAAATTGATTCGCATGTTTCGTTGATTATCAGAGAAACTGTATTATGTGCTATTCGAAATGCATATGATATAGAAACCATACTGTCACCTGAACTCAAGTATCGTAAAGTTACTTGCAGACGAGTGCGTGCAGGTATTGGTGTTCGAACAACGTGCGTTTTAGTAATGAATGGTTCAATAATGTTCAAAAGTTTTTCAAAAATAGCATGTGACATTCGGAAATAATTAAAAAATTTTTCAGGGTCAAGTGTTTCCAATTCTCGTGCCAAATTATCACTTGCGCCTTGCATTAATCTCCTTTCCTCCGTGAATATTGGACGTACCCAAAATTGACGTTTGTAACGTCGTTTCTCAATAGTTTTTTGAATGATGTACAATGAATATAATTTTAATATTTTCTTGCGGATTGCCTCCCTCTTAAACACGCAATATACTTTCTTGCGTGAAATTAGTAATTTACAGATAAACAGTAAAATATTCTTTGTCTTCATGATGCGCTCAAACACATCAACTCACAGAACTAATAAAAAGTGATAAAAAATTGACACGGAGAAGAAATCCTGTACATAACCTCTACCACTGTCCTTTTCTTCTTGAGAAGATAATAACAAATACATTACCGCTTGCACATTTCTGCAAAAATATTTTCCTTATGTCACATTGAGCGGTTTATACGGTAGCGGAACAAAATTCAACCAATCAAAAAGTACCTTTATATTTTCTGCTTATATTGGTATTTCACGATTTGTTGAATTTTGTTCCGCTACCGTAAGAACCGCTCAATGTGACATAGGGATTAGAAAGCAGCGATACGAAAAATGCGGAAAAACTCTGATTGGTCGCTAGATTTCCGCCGCTACCGCTAAAACCGTTCCGCTTTTACTTTTACCGCTTCATGTGCCTCCAGCCTCACTGAGCGCTTAGTGAGCGCCATAGAGATAGTAGTACTAGAGTACGCATTGTCGGAAATTTGAGAAATGGAGGTAATTCTATCTAGAAAAGGACGCACTCATTTGGAATAGAGACCCTCTAATCAGAGTCGCGA